AATCTACTTCCGTAGAGATACCGTCTCAGAAACCCAAGGAGGGGTTGCTATGAGTTGGAACTGACTTGATGGCAGTGAGTTGTTTTTGTTTTTATATTGAGGTGCAATCCATACTCTAGAGTGTAGTCTTCAATCTTCATCAGTAAGTGCTTCAAATCATCCTCACTTTCAGCAAGCAAAATTGTGACATCTGCATATTGCATGTTGTTAGTGAGTCTTCCTCCAATCCTGATGCCACATTCTTCTTCATAGAGTCCAGCTTCTCGATTATTTGCTCAGCATACATATCGAATAAGTATGGTGAAAGGATATAGCCCTGACATACCCCTGTCCTGATTTTAGACCATGCAGTCAGTATCTCCTTGTTCTGTTCGAATAATAGCCTTCTGGTCTATGTACAGATTCCTCATGAATACAATGAAATGTTCTGGAATTCCTGTTCTTCTCAAGGTTATCCACAATTTGTTATGATCCACACAATAAAATGCTTTTGCATAGTCAATAAAACACAAGTAAACATTTTTTGGGTATTATTTGCTTTCATCCAAGATCCATCTGACGTTAGCTATGATATCCCTCATTCCATGTCCTGTTCTGAATCCAGCTTGCATTTCTGGAAGTTCCTGTCAATATACTGCTGTAACCATTTTTTAATTATCTTCAGTAAGATTTTACGTGGTATGGTATTAATGATATTGTTCGATCATTTCTACATTCTGGGGGATCACCTTTCTTTGGAATGGGTACACGTGTGGATTTCTTTCAGTCAGTTGGCTGGGTAGCTGTCCTCCAAATCTCTTGGCATAGCCAAGTCAGTGCCTCCAGTGTGGCATCCGTTTGTTGAAACATATCAGTGGTCCATTCCTGGAGCCTTGTTTTTTACCAGTTCCTTCAGTGCAGCTTTGACTGCTTCCTTCAGTACCATTGGTTCATGATCGTATGTCACCTCCTGAAATGGATGAAGATCGACCAGTTCTTTTTGGTACAGTGGCTCTGTGTATTCCTTCCATCTTTTTTTGATGTTTTCTGCATCATTCAATATGTCTCCCATAGGATGTTTCAGTACTGCAACTTGAGGCTTGAGAAATGCTGAGTATGTTCTTCCCTTTTGGTTTTTTAACTCCTGGTCTTTGCACATTTCATTATAGTAATTGACTTTGTCTTCTCAAGCTGCTCTTTGAAATCTTCTGTTCAGCTCTTTGATCTTGTCATTTCTTCCATTTTCTTTAGCTACCTTCTGTTCAAGAGCAAGTTTCAGAGTCTCTTCTGACATCCATCTTGGCTTTTCTTCCTTTCTGTCTTTTTAATGAAAAGCAGTCTTGCTTTCTTCATGGATGATGTTCTTGATGTCATCCCACAATTCCTCTGGTTTTTGATCATTGGTGTTCAGTGCATCAGATCTATTCTTTAGATGGTCTCTAAATTCAGGAAGGATATAATCAAGGTCATATTTAGGCTCTTGTTGGACTCCTTTTGTCTTCTGCTTCAACTTGAACTTGCATTTGAGCAGTTGATGGTCTGTTCCACAATTAGCTCCTGGCCTTGTTTTGGCTGAAGATATTGAACTTTTCCATCACCTCTTGCCACAGATGTAGTCAATCTGATTCCTGTGTACTCCATCTGGTGAATTTTGTGTATAGCCGCCATTTGTGTTGTTGAAAAAAAGTATTTGCAATGAATAGTCATTGGTCTTGCAAAATTCTATCATGCAAACTCCAGCATCATTTCTATCACCAAGGCTGTATTTTCCAACTACTGGTGATTATTCTTTGTTTCCAACTTTTGCATTCTAGTCACCAGTGATAATTAACACATCTTGATTGCATGTTGGGTCTATTTCAGACTGCAGAAGTTGGTAAAAATCTTCAATTTCCTCATCTCTGGCTTTGGTGGTTGGTGTGTAAATTTGAATAATAGCAATATTAACTGGTCTTCCTTGTAGGTATATGGATATTATCTTATCACTGACAGCATTGTACTTCAGGATAGAACTTGATACATTCTTTGTAATTGCCACACCATTCCTCTTCAACTTGTCATTCCTGGCATAGTAGATCATATGGTTTTCTGACTCAAAAATGGCCAAAATAGTCCATTTCAGCTCACTAATGCCTAGGATATAGATCTTTATGTGTTCTGTTTCATTTTTGACAACTTCCAGTTTTCCTAGATTCATACTTCGTACATTCCATGTTCTGAATATTAATGGATGTTTGTAGCTATTTCTTCTCATCTTGAGACATGCCATATCAGCAAATGGAGGTCCTGAAAGCTTTACTCTGTCCACATCATTAAGGTCAGCTCTACTCTGAGGAGGCAGCTCCAACACCCACCTGGCACGCCTAGCTCACTTACCTGGCCTACCCCAGCCTCTACAACACCCCTGGTGTCCCTAGTGCTTAAAATATGCATACTGACTGATCCAGAGTCATTTTAACAACTTTTTTTTTTAACCTTTCACAGAGCTGCTTAAAGGTGACAGCTGGGTGGGCCTTTCTTTTTGTCCTTCTTCCTTGTTCTTACTTGGTGAACTGGTATACATCCTTCAAGGGCCAGCTCAAAATACCGCCTCCTCTGTGAACAGCCAAACCTTGTCTGAGACTCATTCTTCCATTCCCTATAGAAGAGGCTGGTCCTACAGCAGTAACAGGCATGCAAAGGGCCATAGTCTTTAGGAGTTCATTAAGTCCCTTCTGTATGCCAGGAAGGAGCTCTGGTAGCACAGTGACTAAGGCATCTGACTGCTAACTAGAAGGTTGGTGGTTTAAACCCACCAGCCACTCCGTGGAAGCAAGACTGGGCAATCTACTTCCGTAAAGATTTACCACCTCGGAAACCCAGTGGGGGTCGCTATGAGTCAGAATTGACTAGATGGCAGTGGGTTTGGTTTTTTGGGTATGTCAGGTACTGTGCCATTTAATCTGCTAAGAATTCTGTCAGATGTTGGAGACTCTGAACACTAATACATACTTGAGAAAAGTGAGGCTCAAAGAATTTAAGAAATAGAAGGTCCTATGAGGATCCCTGGTGGGGTGGTGCAGTGGTTAAAATGCTTGGTTGCTAACTGAAAGGTTGGTGCTTTGAACCCACCAACTACCCTGTGGGAGAAAGATGAGGCAGTCTGCTTCTGTAAAGATTTCAGCCTTGAAACCCGATGGGGCAGTTCTACTCTGTCATACAGGGTTACTATGAGTTAGGATTGATGCAATGGCAGTGAGTCTGTTTCTTGGTTTGGGAGTTAAGGTCCTATCGTAAGTATGTGATGGAGCTAGGTAGATTTCAACCTAGGTCTGTTTGACTGCAGAGGCCATGCTTTTCTAGCCGTTACCCACACATTTATTGAGTCCTTACTGTGTGCCAAGCAGTTTGCTATTATAGATGGTTAACTTTTTATTGCACTGCCTTTATAGAACACCACACTATATTAGAGATGGCTGTAAGCTTGTCTGATTCCCCAACCAGACAAGAGGGGAAGTAGAACACAGTGGTTAAGGATGTGGCTCTGGAGCTGAGCTGCCTGCATTTAAATTCAGCTCTGCCACTTATTGGCTGTGTCAATTTGGACAAGATACTTGCCTCTCTGGGCCTCAGATGTCTTAAAGGAATTGGTCATAACAGTTTCTATCCAGAGGGTTGTTCTGACTTAGAGTGACGCTTTAGGACAGAGTAGATTTGCCCCATAGGTTTCCTTGGCTGTAAATCTTTATGGGAGCAGATCGACAGGTCTTTTCTTCCATGGAGCTGCTGGGTGAATTCGAACTGCCGACCTTTTGGTTAGTAGCCAAGTGTTAACCATTGTGCAACCAGGACTCCTTAGAGGGTTGTAGCAGGATTAAATAATACAACTGAAGTGCTTAGAATAGCATCTGGCACATAGTAAGTCATCAGTAGATATCATTAGACATCATTGGACTGACTTTTTTTGAGGAGTGACCTAACTCTTATTCATGTTTGTATGCCTAGTGTCTAGCACATATTAGCAATCAGTAATCTTCATTGAAAAGACATATAGAGAAACCAAGGTCTTCTCAAAACCACCACCCATTACCACCTTTTTATTTTCTTTAAGATTAAAACTCTCTACAGTCCCTCCCCTGCCAACCTTCAATGTTTCTATTAATGCAATTGGAATTGGAACTTGAGTCACTCTAGCCTTATTCCCCTCCCTCTTTCCTGCTACCTATGCTATGGAAGTAACTGTGAGTTCCCATTATAGGCAGGAAAGGGATTGTGGGGTTCTCAAACCTTTCTCATGCCCGTTTTTGCTCCCACCAATCAATCCTGCCTGACGAGCTCCTGTCCTTCCTCTCCACCTTTCTGAAGGCTTTCTATTCTTTCAGACTTAATCTCAATTTCCTCATGAAAGGGACTCCAGCCCACAGAAATCCCTCCACCATCTTCTGAGCTGTAATAACATCTCATTTTTTGTTCAGTGCTTTTGCAGATTCACTAATGGATTTTATCCTTATCCAGTGAGGTGGATATTTATCATCCCTATTTTATCAATGACAGAATTGAGGCAGGAAAAACTAAGCAACTTGCCAGAGTGACACAGCCTGGCCTTGACTCCAGGCTTTCTGACTCTAGCTGCAGCTCTTTCCATTAACACTTGACTTCCTTACAGCATCCACCAATTGTCTCACACTTGAGGCACATAACACTTGAGGACTTGTATCGATAGTTGTATTTTTACACACGTCTGCATCTGCCTTTCATAAGCTACTTGAGGTTAGGGACTGAATCATACTTCTCTATCCCCAGTGTCCAGCCAGTGTAACTCCAACTTTAGCTAATTAATTAAGCATCTCCACTTCCTGTCCTTCCCTTGCTTCCACCCTTTCTCTCCAGCTACACACTCAGAAAAGAGAGGTTGGTTTTTAGATAAGCAGAGATGGGAAGGTTAGAGCACCAAGTTAGACGTCAGAGATAGGAATCAGAGAGGATGGGGGTGTCACCTGAACATAGGGTTAGTTGGGTGATCCCTGAGGAAGGAGTTCTTCTTACTTCTTGAAGTTCTTTGGGGGTAGGATGTTGCCATGGACATCGAGTGGAGGTGCTCTTGCTTCACTTCTTAGCTTGAGTTTCTCCACTTCTTTCAGCTCCTTCACTGTCCTGAGGATCACCTGGTTCTTCCTTTTCACATCCACGAAGATGGGAGTATAGCAGATGAAGGTCAGGAAGCTATTTTTACCCATCCGAGAGGGAGGGGGAATAGCGGGATTGGCCGGGGGCTGCTGGTGGGCACTGGAGTTTGTTAGCCAGCGCCAGACATTGCTATCATAGGGGACGTCAGGCTGAGTGGGGAAGATGGCAGGCAAGCGCCCTACATCAAGCCACGTGTGAAAGCCCCACGTATGCTGGGTTGCATCATCCGCAGGGTGGATTAGGTGATGACGCACCTTGGACTTAATTTTTGTGCAGGGTGGTTTCTTCAGGGCCAGCTGGTGGTAGGCTTGCCAGGTGAAACCAGGTAACTCCCAGGATTCATTGGGAAGGAGGAACTCGTTCTGAGCCTGTGATGTTTGAACGGTTGGGAGCGACTCATTGGCGTGGACCATCTAGGGAGAAACAAGAGAAAGCCTGGGGATGGTTGTGTGTGCAGAAGGGAGGTGGGCAGGGCACTCTGTCTCATCTCAGGCACAACGAGAGGGAGAGCAGGCTGGCAGCCTCCTCCACATCCAAGATTCTCATCAGACACTGATGGCTTGAAAAGAAACCATTTTTTCCTCATCTGTCCTGCCCGTTGGAAGTTATGACTACTCTGTATTATTTCCATGGATTTTTCACTTCTTGTTCTCTTTCCATTTATTGTGTTTTGCTTTGGTTTCCCACCTCCTTTCCTCAATTTAAAGAATCCCTGGGTAATGCAAATGGTTAAGTACTAACTGGAAGCTACTAACTGGAAGGTTGGCAGTTGGAACCACCCAGAGGTGCCTCAGGAGAAAGCCCTGATGATCTGCCCCCAAAGGGTCACAGCCTTGAAAACCTTATGGGGCACAGTTCTGCTCTGCACACAGGGGGTCACCATGAGTCAGGACTGATTGGATGGCATCTAATTCACTGTTTTTGGTTTTCTTCAACTTAACGTTTTCCCACTCTTCACCTTCACTCATCCCCTCTATTCTGGTATCTCCACTTTCTTTCTTAGGAACTTAGGCTCCTAATAGGGCTGATCCAGCCCTGAGAGAATTATGGGGGAAAATGCCCCACACCAAGCTAAGTGTAAAAGCCCTCTTCACTTGCTCCTGGTTCTGACAACACTCCAGGGAAATTATTCTGCAGAAAACAGGCCCAGGTCCTTTTCTGTCCCAGACTCCCCTTGCTACTTTTGTCTCCATCATTGGTGCTTTTCCTTGTCTCATTAATATACAAGCAAGTCATTAAAGCACCTAGAATGTCAGTTCTTTCCCTTTCCTGCACTTCCTCTCCTCCATGGAATAAACAGTAGCAAATATGTATTGACACAGTGCTAAATACCACATCCCAATCTTCATAACTCTATGAGCCAGTATTGCATTTTAAAGATGCAAAAAGCAAGACACAAGGAGAGTAACTCATTCTGTGCTGAGTGAATTGTGCAGCTGGGTTGAGCCCTGACTGTGTTCCTACTCTTGTAACTGTGCTGTGTGACAGGTCCTTTGCACAGTGCTTGCCTGGTGGTGGTACTCAAGAATGTGTGTCTTTTAAAAATGTCTTTCCCCATCCATTCCTAGGGCTTTGTTGATTCCAAAAGTCAGCTGTTTCTTGAGGTGAATTATTTCTGAATTATTTCTACAGAACTACCTTGTGGGTCTGGGAGATGTAGTAACCACCAGGCATCTCCTCTTTTCTTTTGTGAGCTTCCTGTTCTGCGGCCTCACTGAGCTAGGAGAGCAAGACTCATGGTTTATGGGCTTGGAGTTTGGCTGTCCATATCATATGGCCTACCACAGGGGAGCAGCCACTAGCCCATCAGGACACAGAGATAAGCTTCTGATAGTCCCGCCCCTACCTTCAGGAAAGGTTCTCTGACGTGGGATGGACCGCTGCAGCCTCTGGGACATCTTGGTGGGTTACTGGCCATTTTTCTGTGCTTCAAGAACGAGGAGGAGCTGCTTTGTGGGGAAGCCTTTTCTGGCTCCATTGTTTGCTGCTGGAGTTGCTATGGTGATGACTCCTGAGTGGTGATGCAGGGAGGAGGCTCTTACCTCTCTTTCACTGGGAGGGCTCTTCAGTCTTCTGGGCCCTCAGCTGCTTTTCAGGTGAGATAAGCAGAAGTTAGGACTCTCCTAAGTTCTGACTGCCAAAGGTGGTCACAGGAGCTGTTTTTTGGGGAGGAGGAAAACAGGGCTGGCTGGCCTTTGAGTTGGTGGGAGAGGTAGTGAGGAGGCACCCGAGTGGGCCCATCCCTTGCTAATGTTTCCAGGGCCTGCTTTTGCCTAGGCCTCACAGATCCTAGGAACAAGGCTGGATGTGAGGGGAAACGGGGCTGGCTGTGCATCAGAACAAGTTGACAGTTTCTGTTATGAAAGGTGTGTGCCTAGGCAGGGTACATGAGGGAGGTGATCTGTGCTAAAGCCCTTTGGAGTCAGGCTCTCAGGTGCTTTTTTAGGCCAGCTCAGGCCTTGTGTCTTCTGTTACCACTGTCTCCACCATCTTCTTTTCCAACTCCTGCTCTTGCCATAGGGACTGGATACCAACACACCAGAGAAACAGACATTTTCACCCTGGATTTTATTGAGAAGGTAGTTACAGTAGTGTTCTTCAGCTGGCTCACATGCATGCAGTCAGCTGGGGCCTAGGGTGGCTCTCTGCAAAGCTGAGGTGCAAGCTAAGGAAGCCAAGCAGTTCAGGGGCCCTTCCAGCTTTCTTGAGCCTCTGGCCACGTTCTTGATGATACTAGTGTCCCTGGCATGATTAGGGACACTATCAGAGACATATCCAATGGGAGCACCCAAATGCCTTGCTTCAGATGCATCCATCCCCCACTCCAAGTCCAAATCTTTACCCAATACAAAAGGGACTGTTACCAGATTTCTTCTTGTAGGAAAGCTGACTTGGCAACATGGGGCAGTGGGAGAGGGGCAGGAAAAGGGACATGGATGAGTAGATGTCCTGGCCCAGGTACCTACAATAATGAACCCTTAAGCTAGGTACCTTGAGCCTGGAAGAAACCTTGCACTGCAGGTCCTTCCCATCTTTAGGAACTAAAAGCAAGGAACACAAGTGAACTGAACCCCCTTGCCATCCTGCCTGCCTTCTGATAGTCCTCAGTTAATGATCTAAGGAAATAAGTTTACATTTATAATTAGAAGATAATTTGGAGAATATACACTATTTACAAGGGCCACCCTACAAGAAGACTGCTGGGTACAAAATGGAAACAGTTTTGGGAGTTCCTAGTCCCTCACACCTTTGTTTTTGCTGTACCCGTCCTTCAGCTCCCAGTAGAATGGAAGAACCAGATTCTCCTGGGCAGCTAAAGGTGGCACAGAGACCAGTTACCAGGGCCCTGCTGTTTGCAAAGGTCCCAGTGGTGGCTAAGGCGTGACTGCTGCCTTGGCATCACGATGAAAGGTGGAGCTAAGGAGCACAGATGGTCATTACCTTCTGTTCTCACTTAGAGGGCTTGGGGTACACTGGGCCTCGATTGCCTGGCCACATGAGTGCCAGAAGAGTGGGCAGCTTGAGTAGTAGCAAGGGCAAGGCCAGGTCTCTTATCGCAGCTCAGGAATGAACTGAGACCAGCTGATGTTATCAGGGCCCAGCGGGTCTTCCTCCAGGCCAGGGAAGCTGATGTCCAGCAGGATCTTGCTAAGGCTGTCATTCATTGTGTCCAGAACCAGACCTTCTGTTAGAGAACGATTGGCTGAAAGGTTAGGAACCTGTGGTTCAGGGGAGCCTGGCTTGGGGGTTTCCATATATGAGGGGGGATAGCTGCTGAAGGGTTCAGAGGTGAGGTCAAAAGGCTCTGAATTGAGGAACTCTCGGGGTGAGTCAAAGAGGGGAACGCTTTTCAGTGGGGTGGTACTGAGATCCATCAGCCCCAGGGAGTCAGGCAGGGGGCCAAAGGCACCCTGGGGATTTCGAACTGGGCTGAAATCTAGCCCTGCCTCTTTGGCTGGGGGTATGAGCTTCCAAGATTCAGGGGTCACAGGGAGGACAGATTTGCTTGGGGTGGAGGAGATGGGCAGCATCTCCTTAATGGGTGTCTTAAAAGGTCCTCCTTCTTCCTGGGAGTAGCCAAGCTGGGAGGGCAGCTGAGAGGAATCTGCTAGGAAAGGGAGCTCTGTGGCTTGTCGGGAAGTGCTGGGGCCCTCTGAGAAGAGCAGCTCAGGCTCATCCAGACAGGGAGGCAATAGATGCTGTTTCCTACGCGACTGGCTCCTCTCTCTCCTTTCCCTCCGTTTAATCACGAGCATTTCAGAAACACAGCGGGTTGGGGACTTGAGCCCACTGTAGGACTTCTTGGGCCTTGGAGTGGGAGACTGGGATGAATCCTCCCAGGAGTGAGGTGATTCCTCTTTGGAAGATGGGGAGGGCCACTCTTCCAAGGGAGGGCTCTCCACTTTGATGTGTCTCGCTAAGTATGGTGTTTCCTCCCCAGGCAGGATTTCTTCCTCCTTGATGGACTGAGCTGGAAGCAAAGGGGACAGCCCTTCTCCAGGCAGGAGTTTCTCCTCTTTCACTGGTCCCGCAGTGGCAAGAGGGGTTATCCCTTCGTCAGCTAGTAGTACCTGAAAGAGAAGCAGAGATAAGCTGAAGGGGAGCCCTTGAGGCCTGGTGATTCAACCTACTGTCACCAAGCAAAACACAAAACCATGACTATAATTTACATACTGGTTCTAATCCTCTTTTTCTTTTTTTATCTTTTTAAATTTTAAAAGACTATTGAATATGAGGATTTAATATTTGATGAAGGTGGGTAATTCAATTTCAGGAGTAAAAATATAGAGTTTTATATGATGCTGGCATAATTAGTATCCATCTGAGAGAAAACAAAATTGGATGCCTATCTTAGACCATATATGAAGACTTAAACATAAAAATTAAAACCATACAAATCCTGCAAGAGAAGCTAGGAGACTACAAGTACAATCTGAGGGTGGGGGTGACCTTCTTAACCAAGACTGGAAACCCAGAGCTGTAAAAGAGAAGAGAGACATATTTGACTACATAAAAATTAAAAATGTTTACTGTGGCAAGAGATACCATAAACAAAGTTAAGAAACAAACGATAAAAGTGGAAAGATATCCTCAGCATAAAAGACAAAAGGCTATATAATACATAAAAGACAAAAGGCTATAATACATAAAATTCTCACAAATTAATAATAAAACCCTATAGAAAAATGGACAATGTTTATAAATTAGCAGTTCATAGAGGACAATTCCAAGTGGCCAAACATTTGAGAAGATGCCCAAGCTTATTGGTAAGCAAAGAAAGATACAATTAAATAAGGAGATAGCATTTATACCCATCACACTAGAAAATAGTAAAAACACTGATATTACCAGTTACTGGCAAAGGTACAGGTCTTATCACATATGGCTGGTGGAAATGTGAATTATCACATCTTTTTTAAGGAAAATAATCTAGCAATATTTAATAAAACTTAAGATACCTTGGTACTCAGCAATCTCATGTCTGGGACTCCATCCCATAGTAATAAAAGCACTAGTAAGAAAGACATTTATTGCAATGTTGTTCATAGGACAAAAAACTAGATACAAAATGTACCCATAAAAGTGGAATGAGTGAAAAATTTATGCTATAGCCTCACCATGGAATATTGTGTGGTCATTAAAAAGCAATGAATTAAAGCTATGCCAGGGAACTTGGAAGAATTTCCATGAGATATTGTTGAGTTAGAAAAAGTCAGATGCAGAAAAGTATGTGTATTATGATCTCATTTTCAATGTCCTTTGTGTTGTGTGTATACATATAAAATAGCTATGGCTAAATATGCATGTCTCATATTAAGAATATGGATAAAATATGGAAGAAAGAATACTAAATTGATGACATGGATTTTCTTGGGGGACATGAGTAATGTGGGTGAGGGTATGGGAAGGGGCAGAGAAATGAAGCCAAAAAGAGGGCGGGAAGACTGCATCAAAACAAAACTATCCATGCTACAATCACATGAATGTACTTATAGTATATTTAATTCTATGTATATTTAAAAAAATGTTTTTAAAATTAAAGGAAAAAAAAAAAAACCCCAAAACCCAATTCTCTCTAAACTCCAGAGTCTATGCTATTTCCCGCTCAGTGAAGTGGTGGGTTGGAGAGGGCTTTTTTGTCTTTTGGTTACCTAGCAGCCTCTGTTCACAAACCTCTACAGGGTGAAGTCCAGACTTGATGACTCATCACAATATGATGAAGCCCTTCCCTTCCCTTGAAGCTAGACCAATTATGCTCAACCAGGGGAGGATTTTCTCCCCCAGGATACATTGGCAATGTCAAGAGATATTTTAATTGTCACACTTGGGGGGGTGCTACTGGCATCTAGTGGAGAGGAACAAGGGATACTGCTAAATATCCTATAGTGCACAGGACAACACCCTTCTCCCCTCAACAAACAATTACTGAGCCCATAATGTCAATAATACTGAGGTTGAGAAGTCCTGAGCTAGAATGACCCATTCATTCTACTACTGCTAGATGCAAACTGGCCTTTCCTGCCTCCATGATATTACCTAAGAGAATACTCTCTCCACACCTATTTGCTTATGCAAACCTGCTTCTATTTAAGACCTACTTCCCTTGTGAAGTCTTCTTAATACTCCCAACCTATCCATCATAATCACTCATGTCTGAATTCTTACAGACTCATCAAGTATTTATGGGCCTTCTGACACCACTTACATTGTAATCCAAATTCCTTTTTAGTTCTTACAGTGCTATTAGGAGTCCCTCAGTGGTGCAAATGGTTAAGTGCTGGGCTGCTAACTGAAAGGTGGGCGATTCAAAGCCACCCAGGGGAACCTCAGAAGACAGCCTGGTGATCTGCTTCCAAAAGCTAACAGAAAACTCTACAGAACAGTTCTGCACATATGGGGTTGCCATGAGCTGGAATC